TGTGTGTGTGTGTGTGTGTGTGTGTGTGTGTGTGTGTGTGTGTGTGTGTGTTTTACGATAGTGTTAACGTGATGTGTATATTGACTTCTATTCTTTAAATGTGCTTGTATCACGAGGGCTGAAATTTATATGAAAAGTTTCGTGTCGTTCCCAACGACCAGATTAAAGAGAGGCTTGTTGGAAATAACTGTGGGTAAGTAGTGATCTTGTGACAATGCTATGCTTAGATCGAAGTTGTCAATTACATATGTCAGAGAGTGAAGGCAAAACTTTCTTTCCTTTATAATAGACGTAAAAAAACAACAACAGAAAATGAATCTGAACGAGGGATTACATCTGACAGTCCTTCCTGTCTTCTTCTTCTTTTTCCTTTTTTGGTAGGCGTTTCTCGCATTTGCTGCTCAATTATACCGAGTTGCAAAAGTTCTGCAACACCTACCTTAAAAGTACAATAACTCGTTTACTACTCAAAATAACCAAGAGAAATTTGGTACACGCGATCTTTTCATTTTCTGCCAACATGACACAAAAAGAATTGACAAATGTCTTTCCTTATTCAAGGGAGATAATTTTATTCACACGGACTCTTGCAAAATCCAAATCAAAGTTTCCTCAGTATGGCGTGTGGCCTCTTCCAGCTTGAATTACTGATACAAAACGTCTGTTCGTTAACTGAATTGAAGTCCTTATGGTTGTCTGAAGAATCTCCTGCCATTTCTTGTGAAGCGCAGCCTTCAGTTCTTGACCAGTTTGTACGGAGTGCGGCCTGTTTCTAATCCTCCAGTCAAGGTCATCTTACAGATGTTCTGTTTGGTTAAGGCTTTTTGATCTTGCAAGCCAGTCCAGAACAACGATTTGTTGAGTTTGGCAATAGTTTTCACTGATGGTAGCCATTTGTGGTCGGGTGTTGTCTTGTTAGCAGATTCCATCATTCGTGCCATGTAGCGTAGTCACCGTGGCGAAGAAAATCGTCACAATAATGTCGTTATTTGAGATTGCTTTGAAAAGTAACTAAATGTATGCGATAAAAAGCAGAGATTCCACCCCCTACAATCACACTTCAGCCACCTTTGGGTCTCTTGGAGGACGTTGGATTTGTGAAATTTCTCTTCTCTTCTTTTAAACACTTTTTCTCTTCCATCAATGCGACGAATTAAAAACCTGAACCATTGCTGAAAAGAAAACTTTACCAACGTCTTTAGTTTCATCGACAATGTTGTTGTGCCAAAATTTGGCGATTTCTTTTATGAAACAGGATTAAAATGGCTCCACGTAAAGGGCGATAATCACGTAATCCAAGATCTTATAAATGTCTAATAATAGTGTTTCAAGACAGTCCGGAGTGCCTGGCAGTCTCTGCTCTAAGTTGGAATGGGTTTTCAACATGGGTGTTGACAATAACCCAATTCTGATGTCGAGTTGTCGCCCTTGGTTTGCTACATCTTGGCTTGTCTTGGAAAGTTCTAGTGGTGTTAAAACGTTAATTCAACCGTCAGGTGGTTCCTCTGCAAACATTTACGTGTCTTGCAACAGCAGAAAGCGCATTAAAAAAATTATCATACACACAGCCCCTTTATTTTCTAAATTTATCATTTTTAAGATTTTGAAAACAGGAGAAAAAGGTACCCAAACGTTAAAAAGTATGGAATTGTATAGGGTGTAAGGTGTGTTTACACATTGTCTACGTGATTCAAAGCAAATTTTGTGTGTAGAAAGTGTTGATTTCAACACAGACCGAGAGAAATCAATACCAACACTATGTCAATGTACTACTTCCAGTTTATGATCTCTTTCGTCTGCTCTTGCACAAGTAGTCTCATAAGTCCTACAAGTCATACCCTTAATTTTTACTGCAATTCTTACGCTATACCGAAAATTATCGTAATATAATGGGTGTGACAGAACTTTTGCAACTCGGTATAGTTCAAATATGTGCCGACTTCTTCTATTTGTTTCTTTTTCTTTTAATGTTGATGTTTTTGACACGTCCAGCTGCCCAAATTAGATCATTTAAGAGGCGGGCGTCAATCATGCCAGTCTGGGCCAACCCTGGCTGAGACGGATACAACATCCCAGCAGAAAGAACGCGATAATTAATTGATTAAAGTTCTGCACACTCTGGATTCTCACTCGAGTCTTCTGTGTGTGAGGGCCAAGCGCTTAATCGCAACACCATAGAGGATGATATCTCCTACTTACAGTTGTTTTTTCTCTCTCTGTTCAACGATTTTCGTAATTAATTTAGCAAAACAACAGATAGGCACAGAGCTTTCAACATCGAGTATAGCTGGTGATTGCGACATACTTTGCCAATGGCCGGAGGGGGAGAGGTGACAAGCCGAGGAGAAAAACAACAACCAAACAACAAAAACAAAAATAAACAAAAAACAGAAACAAAAACAAAACAAAATCCCAAAAATGTATTGGCATGGATTCCTTCTACAGCTGTGCTGGTAGCTAGCAAAACATTGCGAAATACACGTTCATTCGCGCCACCGCCCCCCGAAAAGGTAATTAATTGATTAGTTACTACTACTACTACTACTACTACTACTACTACTACTACTACTACTACTACTAACAATAATAGTAATAATAATAATATAATAATAATAATAATAATAATAATGATGATGATGATGATGATGATGATGATGATGATGATGATGATGATGATGATGATGATGATGATGATGATGATGATGATGATGATGATGATGATGATGATGATGATAATAAATGTTTAAAAAATAATTAAATTAAATTAAAATTAAAAATAAAAATAAAATAACAAAACACAAAATAAAACAAAACAAAAGAATTTATTTTTTTTAAATCAGCCCGAACACCCAGCAAGATACAATACAATAATAATAAGACTTGCACTGGCGTATCTGAGAGTATTAAGACTTGTGTTTGTTTGACGACTGGCGTATGTGGTGTACTTTTCAGGCACTTCTCTGTCGGAAACAGGAGACCCGAGTTCAATTCTCGAGTTGTAAAAAGATGTTGTATTCCTCTCAGCCAGGTTTGGGCCTGAATGGTAAGGTCGGAATTCCACCTCCTAAATGATCTGAAGTGTGTCAATAGGAGCGTAAAATATGTTCATAAAAAAGAGTACTGGTGTCTCTGGTACAGTGGTTAGGTATTTCGACATCTCGCGGAGAATGACAACATACATTTATTGTAATAATCAAGCATTCTGAAAAAACCAAAGGTGGGTCCTGGGATCCACAGAGGCTGTTTGGTCTTATATTTCGCTGTAAATGTATCCATAAAAATGCTCGTCGTTGCCTGTGCAAGCCTATAAATACTGGAGTGGACACTAGCTGAGCAAGTAACAATCAACGACTAACCATGATGAAGGTTCTCCTGTGTGTGTCTGCTCTCGTCCTCGTCAGCGTGAACGTAAGTCTTGTACCATAAAGAAGATAACGTTTTGAAGAAGGCTGGACGATCAGGTTCTATTCACAATCATCATCATCATCATCATCATCATCATCATCATCATCATCATCATCATCATCATCATCATCATCATCATCATCATCATCATCATCATGTACCAGATCTGTAATAGACATCGACGATCATGGTACTCATTCACCTATCTGTTTGGATGATCTAAAAAACACTTACATTATCCTTGTATATCCCCGCCACCCATCTGTTCAGATTTTCCAATCGTTTCTCTGGGTTTACCCCTGGTACGTTTGCCTTCCATTTTCCCCAGAGAGATCAAGATGTTCAAAGACTTTATTTGATTACAGAGTCATAGAAACCGCATTTGTCGCTTCCTACTTGATGTTCTTTGTGAGCGACACTCACGATCTTCTTTCAGAACTTGCTCGCGGGTTCTAGTGCTCCTACAATACGGGACATATTGTGTTTTTTTGTATCAATTCTTCCCGGCCACTACAGAGACAAAGGACCGGGGTCCTGTGGTGTAACGGTTCGGCGCCTCGCTGTCGCACTCAGGAGACCCGAGTTCGATTCCAGAGTGGGAAGATTATTTTAGTTGGGATGTTGTATCCCTCTCTTGCTGGGTTGGCACTGACAGGCAGGATCGGAGGCCTGTCTCATAAAAGATCTAAATTGTGCTGATGGGGGCGTTACAACATTTATAATTGAACAAGAATTAGAGTAAAGGGTTTGAGATGTTTTAAAGCTACTTCTGTTTAGGTCCCATTCGTCAATCTACAGCGCTGTTATCACGGTCTGTCTTGTTCCGTTGCTGTTGTCGATGCTTTCATTATTGTTACTGCTGCAACAAATTCGGCTATGTTCACAAGGCTGTCAGTGAAATAGCAGAAGAGAAGAAAGAAAGAAAATGGCTACTTCACTGATTCCAATGAACAGCCACCTTTAAAAAGACGTCTACGATTCCACAAGTAATACACAAGGAACATTTCCAAAAATTAGTGACATATTGGCATCATCCAACGCCTTTGTGATATCAGTAATACTCCATGCTGTATTTTGTTATCGCTATCCCTGCGCCTTTTGACAAATACGAATCGTTAAAATGCAGAAAATATACTGTTTTAAAAACATCTAGAGAAATGATATACTTTTCTCAATACTAGGAAAAGAATTTTTAAAACATCGAGAGAAATGATTTTCATCAACAAATGAAAAATACTTTTTTGTTAAACTAGTGAAATAATTTTTCTTTAGCACATAAAAATCATGTTTTAAACATTTGGGGAAATAATATTTCCCCACCACATTAAAAAAGAATACTTTTCAAACATGTAGAGAAATATTTGCCTCAACTACACTAAAAAACAAAAACACTTTTGAAACATCTAGAGAAATAATTTTCACCAATGTCCAAGCCTTTCCAACAAAAAAAAGCCAATATAAGCTTGTCTGCCACTGAGCCGTACATGTCACAAGACTGTCCTCCCCAGGCAAAGGTGGGTGACGAGTGTTGGAACGAAAGCACGTGCGACCCTGGAGAATGTTGTTTGAAGAACGAGGACTCTATGATCGTCAGCAAGAAGAGATCTGACTTTGGACCCATCTTGGGAGCAACGAAAGGTGAGGCGTGTTCACAGTCTGTGTTTGGATACAGACAACTAAATGTGCTTAAAGGCGATATATGTGAGGCATCGTGGTAAAATCAGGCTCTCGTCTATATAAGGAAATCGAAGAAATCACTATTTTTCTACCTTTAGGCAAATTTAATTGATTTTTATTTTTTTATATATATTATTTTATTTTTTTTTTGGGGGGGGGGGTCTCAACACCTTTAATATAAGAAAGAAGGGGGGGAGGGGTGGGGGGCGGGAGAGTGAGTATCAGAAATTTCATTTTGTTTCAAACACTTCATGAAGTCATGTACCATAAAATTCTGCTCTTCTTTCAGCTTGTGCGCTCCAACATTGATTGTTCCTTCTTCCATATCCAACTGATATCTTCCTTATCTCTCCTCCCTCTTTCATTGGTGTCTTACTCTCTAGTAACCACTTCTGATCTTCGGCACTGTTGTGACCTGTTCGTGTTGCTAGTCACGTAAAATTGTAACAAAAACTAAAGTACTTAAAGGGGACCAATAAGCAGAGTGTGAAAACAGTATAAATTAAGGTTATTTCATCCTTTTTGCTCTTTTTTCAACATAATATGAAATAATCGGTGAGTAACCAGATTTGTGACTAAAACATCTACCTGCAACGGGACGAATTTTGTTATTACACTGCTAAAATATTTCTTGTCAGTTCTTCCGCATGTTTTGTGTTCTCAAAGAGTGGTATTTACGTGACGTACAGCTTTATAATCTATCTCAAATAAATGTTATTTAAATCTGTTTACAGTTGTTGTTATTGTTGTTGTTGTTGTTGTTGTTGTTGTTGTTGTTGTTGTTGTCGTCGTCGTCACTTTTGATATTGTTGTCGCCGATATTGCAGGGACGTGCCAAAACTATCGGTTGGAAGGCGACAACTGCCAGAGAGAAGACATTTGGGATGAAGTAACAATGTGTCCCTGTGAGACCGGCTTGAGGTGTGTCTCGAGGGAAGAGCCGAGATTCGTTCCAGGTCAGTACACTGCATCCCTTGGTGGTCTTAAATCGATAAGAGTATGCTTCCACCACCACACGGGTAAAATTCAGAATTAATTCCTACCAGACTAAATTAGTTTAAAGTGTCAAGCGTTTTCATATGACCTTATACAGTTGTGAGTGCTGTAAAACACCCAAACAAAAAGGTGAGCACAGTTGAAACTGTCAAAGACGTCCATCCATTGTCCAGGAGAAAAGTGGTTGTCTTAAATAGGTGGACGTCTTGAAAAATGAAATTAGGATTTAAAAAGAAATATAGAATGCCAGGAAGTGTGTGTGTCGGGGGGAGGGGGGGGGAGATCGGATGTAGCCGTTGGTACAGTTGATTGTCTTTTCCAAATATATATAATTTACTGTTCTCTTTGTCTCTGCCACTCCCCTCTCTTTTTCATTTGCTCTCTCTTTCTCTTTCTC